CTCTGTTAGCTGGTGCTTCAGCTGTTACACCATTTCCAGCCACCGGATCCCTCCCAACTCTGCTTGGGGGCTTCCCCTCAGTCTTGTACCTTGTGGTTACTCCTTCTGTTTTGGTTAGTGGTCACAGGTTGAATTGGCCCTAAGTTATTGGGTGGTTTCTGTCTCCTGTATGGACCCGCTGCCATGGTTAGATAACCTGGACTCAAATCTCACTTCTACAATTTTCTAAGAAATTTCTTAACCTCAGATTCCTGATCTGTAAATGAAGGGAGACATGGATTGCTTGTCTAGAGTTGTTGTGAGGGGAACTTAATGCCGCACATATTAAGCTTCTAGCAGAACCCTGGCTCAGTGACAGCAAACATTGGCAGATGTGTCCAGAAACACAGAGAGAATGAAAAGAAAAAGACACAGGAAGCAAAACGCCAAACAGAACAAAAAGCAAAACCCATCAAGCCAGATGCAAGACATCAATAGGCAATGGGACTTTAATTTATTGAAGATGACATTTTATATAGTACTTTGCAATTTAGCAACAATTTTTAAAAACACTTAATCTTTAAAATCAACCAAGATAGTATGTGTTGTTCCCTGTGTTGTTTCCATTTTCAGTTGTCTAAGATGAGGCTCTCAGGCATGTGTGGAAGGCCACCCAGGACCTCTTCTGTGCCTCCCCACCATGGCCTCCCCGCCTGTGCCCTTTGGAGTTAAGGAGGTAGCATAAGAATTTCCAAGTTACTCCTGACTACATTGCTGCCCTCGTGTGGTCTGACACGTATGAACACTGGTTGCTCTAGGCACCCAGCCGGCAGGAAATGCTGTTCATACAAATGACACTGAAAATCTGGCAAATTAAAGACAATTTTTATGAAGGGTTTGTCAGAACTTATTTTGCAAAGTCAGCATTTGCTTAGATGGATTTATATTTCATGTAACATACAGCAATTACTTCAGCATACGTTAGAGTTAGTGTCTATGCAAAACACAGCTCCTACATGAGTCCTTGTCATCACTTTGACAATGTCAATACAGACATCCCATTTTGCCTCTTCATTTATTATTTAAAAAAATCTGATCGCAACATATGAAGTTGTTGTCTTCTGTTGAGTGTGAGTCATCTTAATGTTTACTTGCCCGAACATATTGTAATAAAACAAACTTACTGTGATGAAGCGTGTTAGGATTCTCAATGTGTGCCCTTGTGGAATTTTATTGTAAATAGCATATGATCTCAACCTTTAGAATAAATCATGAACTGAGTTGATGTCATAGTGAAATCTTCCTGATCTTGTTTATCAGCAAATTGTTCTCATCACCCTTCCAAATCAGCTGATCATCTAACATTCTTCTCATAGTGCTGGTTGCCTGTGATCGTTAATAAGCTCTTCTCCAGTGGGATATGTTTTCCTCTCATTTAGGATGTGGAAACCCACTTTAGATTGAATATAAATGCATTTTTCATTGCCGGATTTATATTATCTATACTTTAAAATTAATATTTAGCTATTCCAAGTCGATGTATGCTGTGCTTTATAGCAAAATGACATTTGTAATAGACAGTAGCTGGCATAAACTGTCGTTCAAAGTTTCATAGCACAAAACATGTCAGGACTTTACCCTATTCACATTCACTATGAAATGTGCAGCCTGGTGATAAAAATCTCAGTTATAATGTACATTTTGGGGGTAAATTAGAGTTAAATTTTAGGTACTAGGCATTTATTTTATATGCTATATATTAATATGGTTATTGCTACCTGAAAACCCTTATACCAGCACTGTGTGATTTGTCTCATTTTAAGCTTAACATTCTGTTGGTTACAGCAATAATTATTTTTTAAAAATTTTCTATCTAATCAGTGATCAATGTCTAGTACAAAGAAGCATTTGTTTATTTACCTTTTATTTATTATTTTAATCTTTACCTTTTAGTAAAATAAGCATATATAAATATGAAGTCAGATAGGAAAACTTAGACACCTTCACAAAATACTATGATATATGCATGCGAGCTGTTTACCAGCATTGAAATACCTTACCTTATCATGAGACACGGATGCACCTGGACTTACCTGACATCACATTTAATGTAATGAGCTGTACCATAATTTTGTGTGAGTAGAACTGTGCATAATTCAATATAGGAAATACAGGGTGGGGGTGGATTCAGCACAAAACCACACTTTTATTAATATTGGGACTGGAGAAGGTTAATTAATTATATCCCTTCCCTCTCTGAATTGAATCAGTTTAAAAGGAGACATTGGTGTAAGTCAGAGGTGGATGAAGTAGAGCTTTGGAGAATGTAACTTGTACTATGGCCAAAACAGAAGTTATAATATTTATTCTGAAAGCCAAATCTTGGGACCTGCACAGGGACAGAACTTGGTCTACAGAGACACTCCCTGGCTACTAAGAGTGAGCAGGCATAGAAAAGCACAGGCAAATCAAGACTCTTGCCATTTCACCATCCAATCACTCTGCTATTGGATTTAGGGGTTCCTTGGTTCTTGACTACGGTGTGAGAAGAATTCACAGGCACATCTTTCACAGAAGCAAAAGTGAAGTTTATTTAGAGACAGAATAAAAAGACACTCAGGGAGAGGTCCCTGGGCAGACAGAGTCCTTGGCAAAAACAACTACAGGGAACTTGTGGGGGCTCCCACCTTAAATGGGGTGCAGGAACTGTTCACTCCATCCTATCTGGGGTACACTGCACAGGTGCTCCTGGGGCATTGCGTAATGGGTCCAGGCAGCAGTTTCTAAGGCGCTCCTCCTCCTGCTGTGTTCCAGGAGTGTAGTAATATCAGCCCAGCAGCAGGTTGGGGCAGGGGAGAGCATTTGGCTTTAGTTGCCATAGTGTCAACCTCAAACCCTAACTGCCTCCCCACACACTCACACACACCCCTCTCAGAAATCCTTTTACAGCTCTGTGGACTCCTACTGCTCATCAGAAGTAGAAAACTACTTATCTAGAAGTTCCTCCCTTCTTGGAACTGAGTTGGGGGTGTAAAGGAAAGCATTTGAGTTATTGTGGGTATTGCTTGTCCTGTACAGGGAATTGCCTTATCATCCTTTTGAGGAATTGCCCCACTCTGGATGCTTCTTACTTTCCTGGGGCTTTATCACCTCTCTGTAGATTGGGGGGGGGCGGGCTTTCCCCTTCAGGCCATTTCTTGGCTTTCCCTGGGCCTTATCAGCTTTGGCATGTGTTTCCAGGGGTCCTGAGTATAGTTGGCTGTTTAATTTTCTTGAATTATGTTCCTCCTTGTCCTAAATGTCTACCAACCCACTTTCCCCAGTGATAAGGAGTGAGTTTGAGAAGATATTATTTTAAAGAAGAAAGCTAAAATAAAGAAAAACTCCACTTAAATCAATAAATATAAATTTCCCCTTAAATAAACAAAAAACAAAAAACAAAAAACTAAGGCCTTAACCCTGAGATGTTACAATGTTTTTCCACTCTGATTCAGTTTGTTAATTAGGCTGACAGCCAAGATCACCTGGGGAGCCTGATGGTCACTGAGGTGGTATTTATCACCTGTTATTTACCTATTATTTTAAATAAACACCCTGACTATTATCACAGCATCTTACACACACACACACACACACTCACACACTCACACACACTCACACACACCCCTCTCAAGAATCCCTTAAACAGCTCTGGGGACTCTTACTGTTCTTCAGAACCACTGGCCTAGAAGTTCTTTCCTTCTTGGGGCTGAGTTGGGGTGTAAAGGGTGCCTTGGTGCCCCTGGGCAACCATGACTTTTAACAATTTCTTTTCTTTTCCTTTTTTTTTAAAGATTTATTTATTTATTTATGCAAGCACTGGGTACAGTCAGAAGCGCGGGAGGGTGAGAGAATTCACCAGAGCCAGAGCAGGATGCAGAACAGGCAGACTGATGAAGTACACTGCTGAGGGGAGCAGCGGGCATGGCAGGAGAGGTCTGCGCACCATGTGGGACCCTCGTCGGCTGCCAGGGATCAGCCAGGGATCGAACTAGCACTGCAGAAGCTGCGGGCAGCCAGCCTCGCAGCCCAGCGCTCAATTGCTGCGCCACCAGGGGAGGCCCTCCTTTTTTTTTTTTAACAGAGAAACAGTTTTTATTCCTCCTCTCCCTTTCCCTCCACCTCCTTTCCCCTCCTGTCCCTCCTCTCTCTGTCTTCCTCTTCCTCCTCATAGTCTTTGTCTTCCTGTCCCACCTTTTCCCTGGCAGCTTCAACAGGACCCTTGGCGCCATCACTATCCTTTGGACCTACAGTGAGTGACATCCTTCTACTTCTTCAGCTTCACTGCCTTGTTGGATGGCTTTTCCCTACCACTTAAATTATTCCATCTCTAGCCCAACACCTCCGGTCGAGATGCCCTGTGAGGCTGGAAAGGGCAGTGCCTGGAGAACTTACCCCTCCCCCAACCCATGTCGCATGTCCCATTGATAAGGAGAGGGAAAAAAAAATCCCACTCGAGGAGAGCACACCAAGGCCAGCACGTCCCACAGGTATTGTGCTAATGGGGTCGTGGTGTCAGGCCCCACCTGACTCTGGCTCCTGTGTGAAAAGGCGCGAGGAACTCGCATGGACTTGCCCAAGGAGAGTACTTTTCATGGCACTTTGAACCAAGGTCTGAAAACACACAGAAGAAGGAACTGTGCAGTTCCTTTTTGAGCATGAGATCCCCCCAAATGAGAAGGGCCTGGAGGCTCAATTCTGAGACTGGGGAGCAATGTTCTTGATGAGTAGGAGGAGACCTCAGTGATGGTGGCAATGGCAGCCACAATGGAACTGGCCACTGATATTTTGGGAATCCCCCTCCTGTTCCCTCTGATGTTTCCTATTCAGAGCCCCCATGTGCCCCAGACCTGGAGCCACCAGCTGGGAGTTTCCCATGTGGCTGATTCCTCTCAAGGGTTACTTAAAGGACTCCAGGTTAGAGGAACCCCTCGGGGCAGTGCATGGGGAAATCAACACACAGGAATTCCAGGGTGCTAGGAAAGAGGTTTATTTTTCATACTAATGAAGCTTTGGGAAGTGCTGCGATCTCGCGCATTCTTGATCTGGGACCAGAGCCAAAGTCAGTAAGTCTGAGATTGTCTGCAGAAAGAGGGGCCCATCACCCACACAGGTAGGCAGCATAATTCAGGAGGAGTCAGAAGAACAAGGATAAGAGTGAGAGACAACAGCACCAAATCCAGGCAGGTCCCGGGCTGTGGGTCTTTGGCTCCCGGCTCAGCTGCAATGTCCAGGGCCGTGGCAACTACTGGGACATCCAGAGGGCTGGCTGTCGCAGCAGTCGGAAGCCGACAGGGTGACATCAGGGATCCGAGTCAGAAGAGAGCAACTGCTTCCAAAGCCAGAAATAGAGCAGCTGGCTACACAGGCTGAGGACAAGTCAGGTGGGGGCACGCAGGGAGCCGGGCAAGGTGCAGGGGCTGCAGGGGCCTGAGGGGAGCATTTGGGTGGAATTTTGGGGAGACACTTGTCAGGAATCTGGCACTTCTGCTGGTTTTGCTGGCAGGACATCTTAGAGAAAGCTCAGTTATTCTAAAAAGCAAGCAGATATTTTGAAAGTCATATCAATATATTTTTTTCACAAAGTCTGAAATTCTGTAACTCCAGAGCCCATATCTTTATAGTAACATAGCCCTGCGCTCCTGGCTTAGGGGAATTCAGGCTGTGGGTAAGTTAGAATTTGGTACCATACATCTCCTACCTGTCCCTGTCCTCTCAAGACTCCTGACTTCACAGGCAGCAACTCAGGGGCTAGGTAGTTCCCAAAGTCTTTAAACAGGTTTTTTATCGTCCTCTAACTTATGCAGTCTGGAAACTGTTTGACCTGAGCCCATGGTTACCCTGCTTGTCTTCCATCATCTGCCTTTTATTCTTTCCTACATCATGGGGTCTCCCTTTTCAGTCCTACTCTTGGGCCCTGTATGGCTGTCTCTTGTCCTACTAACCAGTCCTGCACACTTCAATCCCTGGTTAACATTCATCCTCCACCCCCATTCTGGATTACTACTGAGCCACCTCAATGATTTCTATGAGCCCAACCCCCCTGGAATTACCAGCTAACTCCATTCTCTCTAACCTAGAGTGACTATTCCCATTCAGCTGAGGGGTGATCGTCCCAGCGTAGCCCAAGCTGCCCTCAGATGAGTAAGAGCACTCACCTTGCTCTCCCAACTTTGGGCAAATGATGGACAGGCCAAATGAAGTGAGGAGACAGTAGGACCTGAGACCTCTTATATATACCTTGCACCCAACTTGAGGGAATGAGCCACTATGATATGAAAGCAGTTTCCAACCAGGTGATTATGATGGAAACTTCCCACATTCCAGTGCCTCTGTCATTCTGACATTTGGTCATACTGGGTCACTACCCGGCTCATCATGTGTATCTTCCCAGAGCGGGACCCCTTCATGAACCCTGGAATTATTTCCATAAAGATTAGACGATTGTGATTTACAAGTGAATTAACAATGGCACAGCCTGGGGCTTGAACTTAGTATTTCTGTAGGAATCCCAAGCACGCTTGAGCTCTAAACCTAAACCCACAGATGTTGGATCAACCAAAGTCTCTAGAAGTCACTGCAGGCTTTGCCACTTGGTCTGAAAGCAGCAATCTAAGACAATGGACCGCCACTGAGGGCTCAGTGTGTCTGGTTAAGGTCCTGAAGTGCCTAAACATCAAGCAACAACGCAAATTCATAGAAAGTTCCAGAAGGAAAGGGTTTTAATATACTACTCATACTCCACATATGGTTGAGGACACTGAGAGCTGGAAAGGAAAAGGAGCTGCTCAAAGTTGTTCAAAGTTTGAAGACAAAGCCAGGTCTCCTAGCTCTGTGACCTTGAATCCAGACACCCCTTTCTTTGATCACAGTCCCTTCCTTTCAACTTGCTTCATTAGATTCTCTGGAATCTTTCTCCCTGCTCACCCGCACCCTTCTTCCTTCATGCTATCCCCAACTGGAGTGCTTCCCTGGTCCACCGCTTCAGCCCTGATATCATAAACATCCTTGCCCCTTTGACTTGTCAATGCACTTGACTGAGAAAACCCCGCCCTGGCTGAGTGCGCGCAGCGTTGCCGACCTACTATAAACATAAAAAACAAAAACAAGAAGATGCTTTGGCAGATTGTCAGCACTCCAAGATCATGATCATCCTCATGGACTAGGCAGTCCCAGCTACTCCTCTGTGTTGGTGACGCACACACTTCATGACTTTTCTCCTCTCTTGAACCCTTCAAAGCTTCACTTCTGCCTCTACTTCATGGAGCAAGTAGTTGTGGAATGTAAAGTACTTCTGCTTGCCGTTACTGAATTTCAAACCCACTTCTGCCTGCGGCCTTCCTTATGGTCTCCTGGATCCGAGGGAGAACAGCTCCCTTCCCCTTCCAGTGCCACTGCTTACTCCTTTGATCTGGGTTCTTACATCTCCTGTGAAAGCCCCCTGGTTTCCTTATAGCACTATGCTTGTATTTATGCTTCACTCTCTCATCTTTGATAGAATGACACGCCAGTGTTCACCAGGTCTCTGTTTATCCCCAGCATGTACTTAGTGCTGGATGTATTACAAGGAAACCAACTCTGTTCCACAAAGTAGTGAATGATTTGTGGAAGAGGCAAAGATCTCTCTGTTTATACCTTGAGAGAGAGAATCTTGGGAGACTGGATGGGCAGTGGGTACAAGGGCAGGTAGGGGAAGAAGCTGTTCCCAGAATGGAGTCTTTGGTCTGGTCACAAGAGCTTGCCCTGGGAGTCAGGTCTCTGCTGCCACCTCTGGGTTTCACAGGCAATTGGACCAGATGATCTCAGTGTAACTTCAAGTCTGTATTTGTACTTAGCCCTCCCAGAAGCTGTGTACAACTATGGTCTTTCCTGGCTGATCTCCCTGAACTTGTTTTAATCGGGGTGGGGTAGTGGTGACCTTGATGAAGACGAAAGAGATGCTGGCTGTTGTATGTGAGGATGTGAAGGTAAGTCATGCTGTGAGGAAGCAACCTCATATAGTCTGTTTAGTTCATCTGTTTCTTAGAAGAAAATACTTAATTGACTTATTGCCTTGCTGTGCTAAAGCAGCACAGTATTGTGTATACATTGTGCATTTATAGCAGTTTTGTCCCTCTCCTGGCTGAGAGTGTGAGCTATTGACAACCAGATCTATAGGAATGGGCAAAGCTGTGTTCCTCATCTGCAATGGCCCCCACTAAAACATTCCACACAATTTTAAAGGCTTAGAAAACATTTCTCTATTGTATTCATTCAATATGATCAATGAACTACTGGTTTTGTTTATCTCAACTGAAACTCCATTCTTTTAAAAATATTTTTAAAAAACCAATATCATTTTAAGGATATCGAGTTCTAAATGCCTATTATATGCAGTGTTTTGTGAATTCAAAGAAGATGAAGATATTTCTTTGGCCTGAAGGAATTGTATAAATGGAATAATACATGGAAAAGGAAGAAAATTAAAATATATTTGGAGCTGCCCATCCACCAAACGGGTTATTTGCATTGCCCCAGCACAATAACTTTATGAGTTTCTTATCGTTAATCTTGTTTTATAGGCTAAAAAAACCCGAGGCTCAAAAACAGAGTGGCAATTCATCAGAGGGAATTCATCAGGGGAGCCTAGTATTCCAGAGAGAGGAAAGACCACAACCGCAGGCACAGAGATGGCAAAGGGCTTGGTCTTCTCTGCAAACAAAGAGTGGTCTTGCATTTGATGAGCAAGAAGTGAGACACTAGCTGGAAAGAAAGGAAGAGGCCAGATCAGTAAGAGCTTTACTCTCTTGGCCATGTACTGTAGCCTATAGATTGATGGCATCCAAGATGCTTTCCATGGAATCCTGTTGCCAGGACAACATCTCTCTGAGAACCACACCTCCAGTGTGGCTGGAGTTGCTCTGTCTGAGTGTTCCCGCCTACCCTCCATCCTCCACACTCTTTTGAATCAGCTTCATGTCTGCACCTGGCATGGAAGTTGGAAGAAAATGGGTAGGAATCAGGGCACTGGCATTTGAACCACAGGTATGTTTAGTGTTTTTTGAGTCACATCTTTTTATTTTTAATCTGTAAATTGAGATTAACAATCAGAAAGAGAGCTTTAGTGTGGGATAATGTAAACAATGTTTGACAGTATGTTGAAAATACTTTTTCATTTTGATCCTTTTCCATTCCGATCCTTTTCCTTATATCCTTACATTCTTTCCTACTACTTTGAAAGTAAGCTCTTAAAAACTCTGAATCATTAGTCCAGTAGTCCTTAATCCTTGACAAATAGGGCGACCTGGGAAGGTAGAGTGACCTGGGCCTCCCACTTACCTGCTGCAATCAGAGCATCTACGTGTCTCCCTATTTTACATATTGGAGGCATACATTCGATTTAATATGAAAACAGGGTCATGATGGTTAAACTGAGGCAATTGGGACAATCGACCATTTAAATTGCAGTGAAATCTACATTTTAGAAAGATTCCTTGGGGCAGGTGGTAACTGATTTGCTTTGATTTGGTTACTTAAGAAGCTGACATCTGTGGTGAGTGGCCAGGCTGCAAGCCTGGTGGGAGGGTGGGAATAGGACCAGGTGAGGGCCTGGTTAATGAGCCTGTGGACAAAGGGAGTGGCTGGAAGGTGATTGGAGGCTCTTTATTAGGTTCAGGCCTGTCTGGACATAGCTCCTACATTCCTGGACTCTGTCCTCATGGACCCAGGCACTTCCTCACCATCCTGCCTAAGGATTCAGACATGCTAAGGATCCCTGCCAGTCTTGGGTGTGCCCTTTAATAGGAGGGTGAGGTACCAACCAGGCCAGCACTGGAATGCATGAGATTCTTATCAAGTTAATTTCTTAGTGATGAAAGAAAGGAAAACAGAGATCTTCCTTCTCCCTGAGCAATCAGATATCCCAGAGGCCAGGATCCCAGTGGGCGGGCATGTGGATCTGATACTAGCAAAAAACACTGGGAGAGGATTTATGACCTGCCCAAGGATTTGGGATTCATGCCTGGGTCCCTGAAGGAGCAATCCTGCTGTGTGTCTCTCAGGATTGGTGGGGATATTTGTGACTCAAGCTCATTGAGCTGGCCACATGGGTCTGAGCCCATACCAACTAGTGGACAGGGGACAAGATGGGCTCAACGTAACACATTCCCATTGCGTCTGTGAGGTGACCTCAGAAGCCAGTCACCTTACCCTCTGTGTAAGGTGTAGGCTGGATACATAGGTCTGCTGTGAATAATATGACAGTTAAAGGAAATACTGTGATTAAAAAAAACCAGCCTGTGCACAGCGTTCAGTAGGTGTTCTGTAAGGTGTAGTTACAACAGAGACAGTATCACTGTTTATTGCAGTCCCAGGTTTTTCTTAGCTGCTAAGTCTTATTCCCATGGACTGGGGGACACATGTCAGTATTATCTGCTACCAACATTATGAAGCCCATTTTGTATAAAATCTCTGACTGCAAAAATCTCCCTGGGATTGAGTTAGCAGATTATCCCTGAAGCACAGACCTGGAGCTGTCACTGATCAGAGGTGGGTCACCTGTTGCTTCTGAGCCTTTGTATCTTCACTTGTAAAATGAGAGGCGTTGTTTTCATCTGCACCTCTGAGGTTGATGAAAGCTCCGTGCTTGGGGTTGCTAGATCGTATTAGATCTAGGTTTATCATTTTTGATGTTTGTGGTCGTCCTCCTGTCAGGTAAGACTCCCTCTCTGAATTCCGAGCTCCTCCCTAGCCTCTCGGTTGACCTCAGTAAGTGGGGACAATAGCTAAAACAGCCCATTGGGACTTATGTTTGTAAATGTCACCATCAAATAATTCCTTTTAGTTCTTAATATTGGAAAGGCTAAAGAGAGATAATCTTGCCTATCCTTTTTCACGCAATGCTTCCAAGAAGTTATGTCTAAATCTTCCAGCATATAAGACTCCACAGCCAATAATGACAGCTCTTTCTTATATATATTTCTCAGAGCCTGTAGTTCCAAGCCATTCACACTTTTAAAGATAGTAGTCACACAAAGGGAGGGCTTATCCCCTCATTAATGGACTACATTTTACCTTTTACATGTTTTATTTTTTTCCTCTTAACACTGTTGAATATATATATATATATATATGAATACATATATAAACACACACACATACACATATATATTCATGTGTGTATCTCCAAGGAGCAGGTCCTAATATATATATGTATATTATACATAAGGAAGTATATATATGATATATATTATATACATAAAGACATCTTCTTTATCCATTCATCCATCAACAGGCATTTAAGTCC